GGTTTTTTGGCGAGAAAACCGCTAACCCGGTTAACTATAGTTTGTTGCGGTTTGCCGTTTTGGCGAGAAATGTTGTTAACCCGGTTTGGCAGAGTTTGCCTAACCATCAAACCGGACTTGTGGGTTGGTTTGGATCTTAAGTTAATATTTCTATCTTTGTTTATGTATTTTCTGTTTCGTACCTAGTAGTCACTACTTCGTTTTTTTAGAGGTTTGGATAGGTTAAGTTGTAAATAAAAAAATTTGGTAATGGATTCACTGCAAAAAATACAAAGTAATATTTGAAATTGATAATAAAAAAATAGTAATCGAGGATCCAAATAACTTTAATCGTTTATTAGATGGTAAATATGCATTTTATATATTGTACTGTATAGATCTTTATTAACTTCCTTTTAGACGATACATTTGCGTTTGAATAGATAATATTTGTGAACAAGGTAAACCCATTTTGATTTAATAACCATACATTAACGTTCTTTCATGGATCTGCATTTCAGATTAGGAATAACAACTATAGTATATAAGAAATAATTAACAACTTGAGCTACGAGCACTATCATAGATTATAGGTTACGATTTCATTATTGATTAGATATCCAAACCAAAAGAATTTTTGCGAGTTCTGTCAAATGTTATCTCAAACTCTTAACACAATCAAATTCGAGCTAACCGGGTTTGATGTGGTTTGGCTCGCCAAAAAACCCTTTATGATTCTGTGACACAAAACATATAGACTGCGTTAGCTACATACAGGCGCGCGCCATTATTCCATGGCTAGAAATTGGCCTCAATGATTTGGAATCGAGGGGGATTATCCCTCTTTATCCTGCCTCATCTCGTGTAGGCCTGGACAGCCTTCGTAGGTGGGCCCCATCCGTCGTCTACTTCGATCGCAAATGCAGCCGGTGTAGGCGCTTTGTGGGACCTCCTTTTGTCCTGGCTAGGCCCCGCCGGCTAGGGCCCTTTCTTCTGGCGCTCTTCTTGCTTCACCGGCTCGTCTGTGTAAACCTCGGGGGTGGTGTCATGTTTATGTGTGGTATGGTTGAGTAGGGTAGTGGGGTGTGTATGTGTATGTGTACGTAGTCAAATAGTACTTTGTTGTCGTTCATCGTTTATTTTTAAGTACCAAAAAGTCAAACAATCAATTTTTTATTTAGGTATTGGCTGGAAGTTTCTGGACCTGAACAGTTCGGTTATTTTTTTAAGGAATACATCATACATATTACATGAAAATTTTAAAATATTAACCAGAACAAAATTAAACAAAGAAAAAGGAATGAAATGACCTATAGGAACCATGTTATTAGTGTACAGAATAAAAGTTAAAAAGTTATTTTTCAAATTACATAATTTGACATTAAGAACGAGAAAAAAATCTAAAGTTGTTAGAAGCTGTTTGATGAACGATTCAATCGATTTGGTTTTTAAACGTAAAGTATGAAAACCTGTATACGACTTACTGTAAAGTGTGTTGCCTAAACAAATCTGTTTGCCAAGAGATGTTTTTGAAATTAAATATTGAAATTGATTATAGTTGTTTAATCTATTGAAAAAAATCCGATAATAGTAAAAACAATTATAGAAAAGAAAATTATATGGTATTGACAGTGTGTTATAGGGAAAAACTATTATTCGAATTTAAAATATTGTTTGATATACATTTTGTTACAGCAGTTTTAAATTTAAGAGTTTCTACATAAGCAAAAAACGTCCTGTTCATATTGTTATAATAATCGGGGGCTAAAATAAACTTTCTTTTTTTCTTATTTTTCTGAAGCGGCCTATAACTGAAGTTCGTCGATGAAAGGCGTCACTACCACTTCTTAGAGGGGACTTGGACTTGAAATCCATTCTTGTACAATCATTTACAACATCAGTCTTGGTTTCCAGGTCATTCTTGCGTGGTCTCAGACAGTGTCGTGAAAGTTACCAATTTGCGCGAAGCGTCATTGTTAGTTTTGTTTATACAAATATCTCCTGGAGTATGAAGAGTTGTGCATAATTCTACATCTTATTCCGAAGAGGAGTCTAACAAAGTGTGCTTGCAAAATGGTATTGTTTGTTTGAATAAATTAGTGGTATCATTTATGATTAACAAATTTATGATTCTAGAAAAGTAAAAGTGGTTTTTTACATTTTGGTGACTACAATTTAGAGTAAATGAGTAATAACAAGTGTATGAGTTTATATTTATTTAAATTAATGCGATATTGTTTGAATAATTATTGGTCCCAAAAAAGAGCTTCAGCAAAGTATAATGTACCATTGGTTCTACAAGCAGTAATTACTATCCAGGGGGTGTTAATTAAGAAATAAAAATGCCAATGGCACTATGTTTCTTCTTTTCTTTAAAACTTAGCTAGAAACAGATTTTAGAAACGGATTTAGGAGAATGGAAATAGTCTTGAAGAAGTTTTTCAGATTTTTCCAAGATAAAAAAATTGGACAATAGTTATAAACATATTGTTAATAAATATTTAGAATTTTGATATTCTGGACCAATGATCAGCTCATTTATATAATTTGAATCCTCGAGACTACGTATAATAAAAAATGCATCTCGAAAGAAGGGTGAAAAGCAGCTACAAACAATAAGGAACTTAAATACATGATATGTTATACTTTACATCCTGTATAACTTAAATTCTTTCAAGGTACCTACTTAGACAAGGTTACGTGTCTGCGTAACATTTGTAATATCTTTTTTTTCCAAATATACTTTAGGTTTAGTGTTTTAAAAAGTAGGTATTAAACAAATTTCAACTCTCTCAATTATTAAAGGTTTTTCAATTTGAGGCCACAGCAACTATCGATATAGTTACCGTTATTAATAATGACTGCATAATTATTAGTGTCATTTCTACATCTAGCTCGTTATATAATAATTACATTAACGGGTTTACAATTAAAAATATAGAATTGCTTTTACTAACACATCTTTAACTATATGTATATTTATTCTGACCTGTCCTGAAATTTGGCTACCTGTTTTTCAATCGTCGAAGAATGTATTTCTCTTTTACATTTGAAATTCTGTGTCTGACATAAAATTCGAGTGAAATTTTTGCAAACACGTACAGTTACTGTGTTGATTAGAAGGTGATGGGGACTCTATAAAAAATGTTTTTAATATTTAAAATATCTATTCATTTTTTGTGTTTTTCAACTCCATTTTTTTAAAAATATGCCGATTTCGAACAAAAGTGAACTTCTGTTTGTGTGCACATTCATATAAGTAATTGTGCCAGTCATTGTCCAGAAGGTATTAAATGAATACAGCTGAACGAATAGTCAGCATTTATTGTTTTTCTTTCACTGTCCTTCGATGTAGTCACGGTTTAATTGACAGAGGGGTATTTGAATTGTTATTAAATTCTTTAACCAGTCGTTTAATATTGCGACAAATAAAAATTATTAGTACAACGATTTCTAATATAATTTAGAATTGAAGTAGGTACACGGATGAACAATTGTTTAACACTTAATCAGTTAGTGTAATTAATGAAGATTTTCAAGGTGTTACCGAATCGCTCGTTCCCTTTGGAACACGCAAATAAAAAACATATTTTTGCAGATTCCTTTAGCGATTGCGTTATAATTAGCGATGCATAGACGTTTTATGGGAAAGTTACGCATTTTTCTTTATTAATATTATGATTTCTGCGATTATATCTTTTTAATTGATAATTACGTTCGCTTACATCATAACTGTGTGCATTTGGGCGCAGAAGGAAATCATTTCCTGCGAGAATTCGCACACTCTTCGGATATTAATTTCATATTTAAAATTTCCTCATCTATTACAACTTTCCTTAACTTCGGCGGTATTTGTACTCGAATTTTTCATAATCCGACTGCTATAACATTGTAATTCTATTTTTTCGTTTGTAGGTTGAATTATTACCTACAACTGCGGTTGGTATAACGTTTTACACGTACTTCATCGTTGAGTAAATCATGTTATCACATCGTAGCAATGTGTTTATGTGCCAATTCTTATTTTATTACCGACCTACCTTTCTGTCCATCATTAACAGTCAAGCAATAAAGTTTAAATGGCAAAACTTAACGTTACAGGAAGTTACATCACGTTGACAATACAATAACAGGAGTTACCTAATTTCTTCATTTTTTAAATTTAGATACCTAAATTAAAAACAAAAATGTGACAGATGCAAAATATATGATATACAGGGTGTTACAAATTCGCTTCTCACTTCAGAGATCGTGGAAACGGTAATAGATCCGAACTAGCTTAAATGGGGGCAAAGTTGCATAATCAGGAGACCAACATTATGCCTCTAAAAAATCAAGGCTAACATGATTAGTTTTCGAAATATTTGAAAAAAAAACTGAAACTTGGAAATCCGTTTTTGTTTCATTTCAGCCTTATCTGAGGTGATATTGAAAAAAGAAAACTTTCTTATGGCAACTTTTTGCCCTCTATCGAATGGCATAATCAATTTTTATATAGTGTGTAGTGTAGGTATATAAGTTTTTGCGGATGCTACCGTCTGCTAGAGGTCGCTAGTTACGACCTTTCTTAGTGACATTTTATGACGACTTTTTTGAGGTTAGTTTGTTTATAGTGTATGTTGTATGAATTACAAAGTAAAGTTTCCTTTTACACAAAAAAGGTAGTGTTGTTGATATCGCGAAAAACCCTTTATTTAAAAAAAAACACAGCTGGCTTCTCCAGTCACCCAACTTTCTGCTCCTTAATATACAGGGGTCGGCATAAGTCAGGCAACGCTCTCGAAAAATCGGCATAAGTCCGGCAACGCTCCTAAGTCTGGCAACGCTGTCGAAAGAGATTATAAGAAAGCATGTTCGTGCTTCAGTCAGTTGTGTCTTCTGTGTCATGAATATGATAACACGTGCTCGTCGAGTAGACGCGTTTTCAGAATGAAAATTAATGCTCTTAATGCAAATTGGTTGCCTGACTTATGCCGACCCCTGTATCAGGTGTTCCAAAACGTAAAACTTCAAGGGTATCTTCCTAATATGAAAATAATCCTATTTAAATCGAATTAATGCAAAATATGATTAAACATTTTTTATGAGACCCTGTATCTCTGAAAAACGAAAGAAGATAGATAGCTCACCGCGAAAAATCGTCGTATAATTTATGTTCTTTTTATGCGTTTTTTCAACAACACCCTGTAGAAAAAATATTATAACAGTCTCAGAATAAACAATAAAAATTGAAAATACATTTACTGCTGGAGAAATTGTGAAATTTCAAGTACCTACCTAGTAAAAAATCTTTGTTCCAAGTTTGTTTAAATTCATTCTTAGAAAGTCACAAATTTATTACGTTATGTTTTATTGACTACTTTCGTGCTTTCTTTCCCATGTTTCATTATGTGTTTACTTTCTCTTTCGAAACGAATGTCCGTACAATCTAGATAAGATGCAATAATATCTTGTAATAATTACTTGTTATAAAAAATCTTTTTTTTTTCAAATATTAATAGTATTTTTTCACAGGTTCTTTTGTTTTTGTTTACGGTTACGGTTACGGTCTACTGAAAAAATTAAGATAAACTAGAAAATATACATATGCTATACATAAATCTCTTCCTTAAGCTGTATTCACCGCTTCAATATTTTTTAAACAGACAAGTTAGTGGTATTATGAAATAACAGCAATAAATATGTCAGCTATATCCAATATTCAGCCTTGGAGGACACGACACCTCAAATAGAAAAAAGAAAATTACATACATAAATAGTGTTGCCAAATATGTGGTAATATTTCTTCTTACTATTTTTTCAATAAATAACAGCTCACAATTGTTTTTATTTAATAATCGAGGATATTTTTTATTTTATTTATAAATAAAATTTGAGATTACTAAAGCAATAAATATCGCCCTGTATATATTTATATTGCCATTTACAATATAATCATTATTACACTATATAATTGGTCTTAATCGATTCTAGAGTCAACATACTCGAGTGACCCTTATATTTTATCATCAAAAGTATGTCAGGTGTCGAAGAAATTACAAAATTATGAATAAAATTTCGTAAAACTTAACGATCAATTAACAAGCGGGGAATTTGGAGAAGTATTGCAGAATGGAAATCGCCTCTTTGACACAAATCCATTGACTTGCAAGTTTCTTTCGACAGTATGAAGAAAAAGTGCATAGCTGTTGCCGTTAATGATGAGTTTTGTATTTATTTTTTCATTTTGCGGTAACGGTACCTTGACATTAACAATTCGGTGTGCAGTTTTTTCCACTCTAACGGGTAAAGATTTACATTGTCGATAACGGACATTAAAAAATGCATGTAGGGAAGAGATGCAAGAAAATGGCCACTATTTTCAAGTACTTAGTTATTTTAAGTGTTTTATTCCTCATTTCTTCGTTAACAGTGCTAACACTACACCAATTTGCGCAACTAAACTTTTTATTTTCAGATTCTCAAATTCTTCGTCATCTTTACCATATGTCAAAGTGTTCTATGCCATCCTCAGACTCTTAAACTGCCAGAAATACGAGAAATACAACCATTCGAAGTAAATAGTCTAGTTCAACACAATCTTCGTCCTAGATCCATAGCTCCAACTGCAGATATTTTCTCACTCAACAATGTGGAAGACACCATCAAAGAAGTAGAAGCTATGCTCAAAGCCAACCCCACTTTACCTAGATTGACTCGGGGAGAAATCCTAGACCTTTTGGAGAATATAACTCAAACAGACATGGAGAAGAAGAATCTGAAAGGTACAAACGAGGAAACGAAGGAAAGGGATCCTAAAGCTATCATGGTGGTGATGCCATTCACACCATCAAATGGTAACGATGTTAATATGCAAGAGTTATTCACTAAACCTCCTGTGACCCACATTGTGGGGGCTGAACCTTTCAAAACTCAGGCAGACTACACATTCAAAAGAATACCTTCAGAAATCAGCAGCATCCCAGAATTAGGTAAGATTTCTTTTTATAATCTGTGTATTTTGTTATATCTAAACTGTTGTGTACTATTTTATAAAAGGTAACATACCTAGAACATCAACAGGAACGAAAACTCCTTCCACATCTACTCCTGTTTCCACTGCATCTTCAAATGCACCACCTCAGTATACGGCGAAAAAGACAGGCACCCGAAGAAAAAGACCTCCAACAGCTTCAACGAACTTACCAACAGCAACGCCATCACCTACGACTTACCATCCTTCAAGAAGACCGATCAGAAGGAGACCTGCTAGTACTGAAAGATATCCAAATCATAAATACCCAGATGAAGTTCCCACAGAGGCAGCCCAAGTTGTTACTGCGTCACCAGGTTTTGGAATAAAGATCATAGAGGCCCCGAAGTTTACTGCTAGTGATATAAACGAAGATTTACAGATGCAGGAAAACCAGTATCCTGGCCAAGTGGAGAATAATTCTCCAGGAGTTGCTAATGATGTTAACGAAAAGAAACAGGGCAGTACTGGTTCTCCTTTGTTGGATTTGGTCCCTGATAATTTAAAAAGTAAGTAATGGTATTAGATACTTTTCTCATATTGATTACATTATCATTTTCAGGTGTTTTGAACGACATAAACTCTCAAACCAAAAAACCTTTAAAACCTAGTACACCTCCCACTACAAGTAAGGAAAAAGAAGAGGAAGAAAAAATAAGGAACATGCTAGCTTCCTTCGGAATTTTACCCCTTAAGACAACTTCGACCACAACTCACGTTCCAGACATCAGCAATGTCGCCGACAATCTAACTCCAGAGATGAGAGACTTGCTCATGAATTTTGGATTGATCTCAGACACAAATGAGAAGAAAGATGTCATCCTCAGTCCTACCACTGAAGAAACTTATGGTTTCAATCCTGTGAAGGCAGAAGTTGAACCTGAGGCTTACGGAGGCTTCAAACCTCTCCCTGAAGATGATTCTAGTAGAGCCGATATGGAAGAATTGTTAGCCAGATTTGGTTTGGGTAAGAATTCTAGAAAAGAGAAGTCATTACCGAAGAAAAGAGACGAGAGGGAGGAGAAGAAAGATAACTCACATGGTTTGAATTTTGAGGTAGTTCCACAACAGTATATGGAGGTGTTGGAGGATATTGGACTTGCAGACAGACAAGGTGAGTTAGTTACTTTTACCAGGAGGAAGTTATGACTTTCCAATCCTAAAATTTCGTATTATTTAAGGGAGAATGATTAGGGCGCAACCACTGGCCAAAACTCAAGAAAAACAACACGTTTTCAACCCAGGAGAGCCACAGTACGCTTCAAGCGAAGAACTCGAAAAGTTAAACAGACTTTTGGAGGTAGTCAGGCAGTTGGAACGACTGAACGGCACTGTGACTGATGAAGACTTGAAAAAAATCGACATGGACGACCTGAAAGAGCTCATAGCCAGCCTCAACGAGGAAAACAAAATTGTGCCTCTGTACCAACAAGACGCACCAAATCCAGTTAACTTTGACTTCGGATTAGAGAAAAATGAAGTGAAACGTCAAGAAAACTCTACTAGTACTACCGAGGCACCCTCAACTTCCGCGGCACCCTTAACTTCCACGGAGGAAGTTCAGACGGCGAACCTGAAGGATTTAGAGGCCTCTTTCGGTGGTCAAGTTGATTCAAGTCCGGTCACCGAGGAGCCCGAGGAAAGTACCACAGAGGCGCGTAAGACGGGTTTCTATTACCTTGTGGATTGGAATACGTTTTTGGATATAGATGATCAGAAGGGTAAAAGGGTGAATTTGAGGTTCCAGCCTAAGGTTGGGGATCCCAAGAGGTTTTATTCCGTGAGCGTGCCTTAGTTTGTTAATCTTACAGTTTCTTGAAGAATTTGCTCAATTAAGTTTGGATATCTACTAATATAGAAGTAGAAGTAATACAAATTTATTTCTATAAAGAAATTTATATATTTTTTAAACATTTTTAGCTAGTTTAAAAGGATATATTGTATTTATTTCTATATTTGTGGATTAACATTTTTTATTTATGTTTAAGTACATGTACTCTCGCGTTGGAGTTTTTAAAAAATTGTACATAAACTTTAGGTATTTAAAGCTTATTTATACGTTATTTAATGATTTTATTTTACATATTTTAGATAAGTATTATAACTATTAGGTGTTGTATTATATTATTAATTACGTTTTAATTGTTTTTAAATAGGTAATGTGTTCATACTGCATGAACAATGTAGAAAGTGAAATTTGCGTTGTAAATACAGTCTGCTTAAATTTTAATGTTGTTTCCTTGAAAGTTGTTATTGGTAATTCGTTTTCAATAGAAGAAATGTAGTTTGGAAACTAAAACTACCTACTAAAACGTATAAGTTGCAATGAATTGTTTAAAAAATGTACAGGTGGTGCATTTAAATAATAGAAAATTAAAATATGTACAATAATTTGCTTTTAAAGCAGAAAATTATTTCTATTGTAAAAAAGTAATCAATTTTGTATACAGTGACCATCACGCAGAAATGCAAACTATGTACTAAAATACTACTGTACTATAGAAAAAATAGAAAAGAATATTATTCCATACATAACAATCTTCTAACGTCTGTTTATTTATAGACCACCTGTATATTCAACAATACATATTTCTTATAGAACTTTTTAAGGTACTTGTTTTTCAAACATTTTGCCTTTTTTACATATTCAAGTATCAGTGCAGTGTTGTAGGTTTTAAGTTGTTCTTCCATTTGTTTTACTGTTTTTAAATATGAAAATCTATTACTGTTAATTAATATCTATTGAAAATGTTTCAAATTATTTGCGTGTGCTTTTTATTAACTTCGGCATTTACTTTGTGTTTATGCTTCGACGAAGTTTGGCAGGAATATCAGAATGGTTTGAGGAATGCTAATAGAGAAGGTAGGAATTTAATTTTCTTCAATTTTTGGCATACCGGCTCTCTACAAAATTCAGGATTTAATTTTAATTTATGGCTTTAATTTTAGAACTTGTTATAACAAATGTTACTACAGACGAAAGTTTTAAACTAAACGTCAAAGTCCAAAAATGGACGAGTTTGTCTGTAGGTCCTATGTGTTACTCTATTGGACTTATGGATACAGGATTGGCTATTTTATTTTCGAGTCTAAACACAAATAAAACTGGGTTTGATATCAAATCCCAAATAATAGGTGAGAATTTCTTTGAAAACTTGTTCTAACTTAGTACGGAAATAAAAAAGGAAAATGATAATATTAAGTTAGTATTATGCTTCTACAATTCCTCTACAAAATCACTATTAGATTTGAAATGTATTAATATTATATTAAGGGGTAGATATATAAAAAATGGGGTCTTGTTGAATATACATAGTTAGAAAAAAACTGGAAAATGTTCTAAGAATAAAAGGAAAATATGAAGTGTATATAACAGTTCAAAGAATAAAAACTGTTAAATCAACCTTAAATACAGATGTATACAGGGTGAGAATGATATTTGGGGTCAAACCGTTTCGTAAGAGTTCTCAAAATTTCTGGGAAAATATTTTTTTCTCAAAATATTTGTAAATGAATATACAGGCTGTCTATTATAAGAGGGACACTCCTATGGATCTCCCTTAATATACGACGCAAGTTAAAAATCTTTATATGTTTTTTGTTGCATATTTTGAGGCCTTATCGCTCGTAAAGACAAATTTGAGATCCATGGCCAACTTTGGGAGTACTTAATCATAAAAAACCGGAAAAGTACCGAAAGTTTAGGACCGCCTAACTTTTTTATTTTAAGAGTTGAGAAAACTTATTTTAATAAAATTTAATGGCAAAATTGATATCTTTCACCTGTGTAAACAAATTTGTTAAGTATCGTATGTAATTTGCTGCACCCTCTACGCGGACAAAAAAAATTGTCATTGAAGCAGGCTGTGGATATAAAAAATTGCTTGTTTTTTTTATTCTTTTACGCGATGTAGTACATGTCACCTTTATTTTTTATATTTATTACATTTTTTATAATTTTGGTATCAAAAATGTAGATTAATGTAGAAATTGTTTTAAACATGCCAACTACAAAAAGTTTAATGAATATAATGTTCTTCTTTTAAGCAAAGAATCTGTAATATCTGGCTCTGGCACCCATCAGTTTACGATCATATTACAATAAAGTGAAAAGAAAATCTGTATTTTGCTTAAAAGAAGTACATTATATTTATTAATTTTTTTGTAGTTGAGTGTCTACAACAATTTTTGCGATAACAAGAAAATGTTTACATTTTTTATACCAAAATTATAAAAAACGTAATAAATATAAAAGATGGGCAACATGTAGTATATCGATTGATAGAGGAAAAAACAAGCAATTTTTTGTTGCCACAGCCTGTGTAGATGACAATTTTTTTTTGCCCGCGTAGAGGGCGCAGCAAATTACATATGATATTCTAAAAATCTGTTTACACTAGGTGAAAGATATCAATTTTGCCATGAAATTTTATTGAAATAAGTTTTCTCTATCTCTTAAAATAAAAAAGTTGTTCATTACCTACTTTTCCGGTTTTTCTATGATTACTCTCAAAGTTGGCCATGGATCTCAAATTTGTTTTTACGAGCATAAAGGCCTCCAAAAATGCAACAAGAAACATACAAAGATTTTTGACATGCTCTTATAGTAGACAGCCTGTATAACCGAAGATACATTGTTTTAGTGCACAAATTTATATTGAAAATTGCATCAACCTATCTACCCTCAATAAAGTTAAAATAAAATTTGAAACTATCAAAAAATACAGAATTATTTGAAGATTTTTATATTAAAAAAAATATTTAATCAATTAGATAATTTTCTGAATCGAAAGCTTTGTATTTCAATCTCTGGTTGACGTACGACAAATGTTAAAAGTCGTACGAACAGGTAAAACAAAAAGTTATGAATTTTTGTATTCATTATATGTATGTATTATAATTATTCATAAACAAAAATAATTTTTTTAATATTGGAAAACTAATATATTCAACAAGATCCTAAAAAAACAATTTTTATGGAAACTGCTTTTTCAGTTTAATTTTGGGACAATTATTTTTAATTTTCTTTTTAGAACTAAATAGGAAACCTCTAGATACAATTCTAATACAGAATAGAAGTTTGCAAGTAGTGGAACCAATTTTAATCGTAGTATTTCAAGATGATTTAAAGTTAGAATGGTACAGGATTCACGAAACAAAATTGGTAATACAATAAAACTAAAAAAAATTTTTCGCCATAGGGCGAGAATGTTATTTTCATCTCTAGAGACGAAAATGAAAATGTTACAAGTTATTATTTTTTAATTAAAAGACTGATATAACTTTTGCATTGCAATTAACTTAACCTCAACAAATATATACAGGGTGTTAATTAAGTATGCCGACAAACTTGCCAATCTTTGAGAGATTCTAATCCAAAAAGGTATATAAACAAATCAATAGTTTTCGAGAGAAAATGTAACAAAAGTTAAGAAATCATCTTTTCTAAGCTATCTTTGAAGTCGTTTGATGCATGAAACTTAGGCTAATTACTTATCTAATTAAAAGTAAAAATTCACCAAATTCGGATATAAAAACTTCTACCAGTAGTGGAAATATCGGTAGTCCCACTCAACTGAAAACCCTAGAAATTCGACGCCACTGGAGATTTTGAAAATTGGATCACTTCCTGTAATTTCAGTCATTTATTAGATTCTTTAATTTTCACTTCACATAATAAATAATTCTACTCGTTTCAAAAATGGTTTATAATGATTTTTTTGTCAGAAATACAATTTTAAAACAAATTAATTATGCTAAATTCAAAAAATCAATAACGTGTTTAATAACGTTAATAAAAAAAGTAATCGAAAATGGTTCGTTTTTCGAATCAAATAAGATACCTTTTCTGAGTGATGAAGTAGTGACAAAATTTTCAAAATATTCAGTGGCGTCGAATTACTGAGATTTTTAGTGAAAGTAATTCCTGGTGTCTCCGCCACTGGTACACGTATTTATATATATTTAGCAAACTTTTACTTTTAGTCTAAGTTTCGTCAGTTTATATCAAACATCCTCAGAGATATTTCAGATAAAGTGATTTCTCTCTGTATTTTGAAATCTATCGATTTGCAGACCCACATTTATATTTTTAGTTTAAAACAATACAAAGAATCGTCTCTTAAAGTTTTTCGACATACGGCATATATTTTAAAATATTTCCAAAATAACATAACTTTTTACTTGACGAATGCTATTTTCTGTGTGGCAAAAACACTTCTCGAAAGGAATGCATCCGTTGAGATAGAAGCGATTGAAAAATATTTGTTGAGTAACAGTTTTTGAACACTTTTGTGTATACTTTAAATAGGTAGTAACGAAAAACAGTGTCGTTGATTTTGCTTTAGGAATCTTTTTGGACGTGGAATTTGATACACCCTGTAGTTCACATCAACTCTTTTTCTGTAAACAATAAACGCATCTTATTACTTGCTGGTGGACACAATCAAAATTCAGCTCGTGTGGATTTGTATCAATATGAACTCAAAAATGGACAGAAAAATTGGTGGGTATAATAATTATATTTTGGCAAAATTTGTGAAATAATTTTTTTTAATTATTATTAGTTATTAATTACAGAGTGATTACAGTATAACTACTGTAATTTTTTTATTTAAAGCAAATAATGTAATCGGTTTTCTATTTTTTAAGGTTCTGGCAATCTCTCGACGTTTCGAATCCCGTAGCATCCTCCGCTTTCAACAAGTTTGAATTCGATACCTACCTGTCTCTACCTCAGAAAACGTTAAATATTGTTACTATTTTCAAATACGAGGACAACCGTTTCGTGCCTTACAAAACCATCCCCAGTAAAAACGTAGAAAACGTGGTTTCCTTCGAAATAGGTTTCCAATCTTTTCTAGCCATTGATGGGTCAAATGCAGGGATATATCAGTTCAAAACACATGGCTTGGAAAAAGAGAATATCGTCAATTCCAATATGGATGCGATTGAATTCTGGATGCCAGTTCCAGTGGAAACATATAGAGATGAGGTCATACTGTTAGCACAGAGAAATTTAAGTTATGCCAGCCACAACAATTATGTAATCGAAATTATTACATACAATGGAGGTGAATTTAGTTTTAAATAAATGTACCTAATAATTGTTTTAAACTGAATTTTATTTTAGCAAAATTTGAGGAGCATGAGGATATACCATGCATGCATTTTGGAGAACAAGTACAATGGTTAACTTGCCTAAGTGAAGAAAATGGTATTGCAGGCTCTAGTTACCTCACTGCTGGTGACAAACTTGGTTTGATCGTTCCAAGACCATCAAACACCTCAATTTTGTTCATTATGCACTTTGAAATAAGGCAGATGTCAAATCCATTGGAAACGGAATTAAAAAAATTGCTTAGAGAAAAGGAAAACTTACAGGCAAGTAGGCCACTGACTTTTTTACCTCACAACTCTATATTTCTTTTTATAGAAACTGATTGACACTCAAATCAAAGACTATAAAGAGTTTAAAAATATTTCTGGAACATCCGAAATAGTTGATGCATCACCACATCAGGTTATTTTATCGAGACAAAGTGAAAAAGTTAGTGCTCCACTAGATCAAGAACTTGAGGACTTGGTGAAAGATATGGCAGAAGTAAAAGAACAGGTTAAGAGGATTATAGAAAAAGAGAACACGACTGAGTTTGATATGCTCACTATAAATGGTGAAGTGGAAATAGAAGGAGAAGGCATATTTACGGAAATTGTGGTTGAAAAGCTCGGAGGAGAACCAGCTACTGCATTATTAGAAGATTTAGTGAGGTAAATATTGCACTTGTATTTCAGTACTACAATTCTGATTTTGTGGAAAAATGAAATAAGATAGATCCGAATTGATGTTACTAGGATAGTTACGAATATTTTCCTCTTTCATTTGTCATTGTTAGTCGTTCTCTTCATTTCAGAAAAGATTCCATTGAACATATATCTGGCAACAAAATAATCAACAAATTGAATGTCAATCATATCGTCTTTGAAAAAGTAAATGGTATCGAAGCTGCTGATATACTATTTAAAAATGATTCTTCGGTGACATTATCAGGAAATATGACTGTACATGGTGATGCTGAGATAAAAAATGTTCAAGTTTTAACTGGACAAATAAATAATCTGGATTTGGTTAACGAAATAGTGGATATGAGAAACGAATACAACGGTTAGTATTTGTGGCATAATAAAAAAATATAAAACCATCCTCCAATTTTAGGTTTTTTGAATTTTGAAAATGTGAAAGTCAATAAGGAATTCCATGCTGATATAATAAATGATAAATATAATCAAAATAACATGTCTAGTTTTAATATAACTGAATTGGACAACGTTATACTACATAATTTGAAAGTTACTAATATTAATGGAGATGATTTTGATATCTTTTTGAAGCAACTTTGTCTGGTTAACATCAAATGCTATATACCAGGAGTTTTAAAACTAAATGGGGTAAGATCACGCATTCCAAACTTTCTAAAACTAATCATCAAAATTGCCTTACATTAAAACTAATTATAACAAAATCGTGTTGATTTTTAGAATGTTACTGCAGAAAAGGTATCTGTTAGTTATTTGAATGGTTTAAAATTTCCAAATGAATACGTGTTCAGAAAATCAGATGGTACATCGTTAACTATCACAGGTAAGATCGTACTTAGGATACAATTCTCTTCTTCACGCAAAGCTACCAGAATATTGTACCAAAATGTACATAGTATATTCTTAGAATATTTTTTTTATTGAAGTTATTTCTAATTTTAGGGCGAAAAATATTTAAAAACTCTCTGGTGGCACAGGAGATAAAATGTGGAAAAATAGATGGTGTCGACACTAAGAAACTTATAACTTTGTCCACTAATCAACCAGAAATTCTCGGAACCATTATATTTAAAGACATAGAAGTAGTGGATCAGTTGAATGTGAGTGTAAAATTAAAACAACAAGGAATTGCAGTCCATATGATTTAAATGAACTATGAAAGGGTTTATGTACTTTTATTTTGAATTCTAAATATTTTGATTGATTTTTTTAATTAAATTATGGATTCTACTTTTCCTTTAGGTCACAGGGAAGATATTAGGAGAGCATGTTGATAAATTCCTGCCCAATCCTACTCTGCAGTTCGTAAAAAATATCTCGGCTAATGTTAATTTCAAAAAGCTTGAGGTAAAAGGAAATATCATTATCGAGAACGACTTTAATCACAATAATTTTGAAATGATGTTAAATGACTTAATTTACAAGGTAAGTTAGATTTTTCAGTCAAATAATGAACTTATTTTTATTTGTTTTCTTTTTAAGGATGAAGAAGCAGTGGACATTTTTGCCAAAAAGGACTTTCCACATGGTTTCACTGTGAAGGAGAACTTAGAAATAGGTTCGAATTCCATCAACAATATATTCCTGGATTCAATTGTCACTAAAGATACAGATCAAGTCCTCAACATTACCTTCATAAAAGGTGATGTAGTTGCTGATAACGTTGAAGTAGGAGGAAAATTTAACGGTAAAAACGTAACTCAAATAGATCAAGATCTGGTTAAGCTGACTGGTGAACATCATGTGTTATCTACTTTTGTGTTCGAGGAAGACCTTCAAGTGGAAAACTTAGAAGTAACAGAAACATTGAACAATATCACACTTGAAGAGTTTTTGTCAACGGATGATAAAGAAGTCGATGATGACATCAAATTCAAGAAAATTGACGTACATAACGTTACAGTAGAAGGCAATTTCACTGGAAATATCCCAGGATTTGATATCCAGGATTTTAGTGAGAAGTATTTGAGCCACAGCAAAGATCAGACTATCGATAAACACTACGATATTATTTACTCTACTATTGACAATTTAAATGTTCAACGTGTAAATAATGAAGATTTCGAGGACTTCTTCAGTCCTGAAAAATTTACTGAAAAAGTTAAAGATCTGCTGAATACTGGTCAAATTACAATTCAAGGTAACAAAGAAAGAATATTAAGCAATAAGTACTATTAATAATCTTTCTGAATATTTTAGATTTTTACGTTAAAGGTCCCTTGTATATCGAATCAGTGAATGGAATAAATAATAGTTATTGGCTTCCAAAAGATGATTTAAAGGAAATTGATGGAAAATACAAAAAAAATCTCACTATAGAAGTAAGTACACGTTCTTAAAAATTAACTACCATCGTTTTTCAAATATTTGCATATTGTAGGGTAACATTTTCTTCAACATCTTGGAAATTAAGAGACTAAGCGGTGTAAGATGGAACTTTTTCAACAAGCAGCTCATTCGTAAGGATGAGGTAAACACAGTTATAAGTGGTCGTTACACAAATTTTTTGGGAGGTGTTAAAGTAGCCAAACTGATTGAATCCAAGAAGATTAACGGGATACCTATTGAAAATATTCTTACAAAACAGGGACAACAAACTATCAATGGTCCTATTGCAATTAAGGGAAACGCAGTATTCAAAGAAAATGTTAACATTTCCGAAAATTTAAACGATATTGCTGTAAGCGAAATTCTGAAAAATATGGATGTAGAAAATGGAACATATACCATAAAAGGTATCACTTCTAGCTAGTAAAAACGTTATATTTATTTAAGAATTAAGCCGTTGACCCATGATGGTATTAATTTATGTTTTTTAGATGATATTCTCTTCACCAGAGTACAACATATTTATAATTTAGACGTAAGGGGAGAAGTGAATAACAAGAGCGTCACTGAATACTTATCTCATGTTGTTCGTTTAGATGAGGATTCTATATTTAATCAAGAATTTGTGTTTAAAGAACCCGTAAGTTACTTATTGTAGTAGGAAAAAATTTTAGTTTTTTAAAAACAGAGATTCGGTTTTATACGAAGTATTTTTTTATATAATAAGACTTATATCGGGTACATATTGTGTCCAAACTAGAATCAAAATCTAAAAAAAAAACATTCGTACTAAATTGAAATTAATTCAATCATAATTTGCACAGGTCAGCATTCGTGGTAATTTGGCTGTAGAAGAAGGGTTAAATGGCATTGATTTGTCGGACATTGGCAGTCAAATTGTTCTAACAACAACAGATGCGCAAATTCAGGGTCTTGTAACGTTTATGCAACCAGTAGTTATAAAGGAACAGTTGACCGTAGAAAGAAATTTCAACACAGCTACTCTATATGGTATCGACTTAGACGAATGGAAGAACAATTCGATATTCCTGGACCAAGGAATGGTTGGAGGTAAAAAATATTCTAGCAAATTTTTGAAGGTATTAAGCTAATGCAAAAAAAAAATGTTTATATCTTATGAAATGAAGTCGAATACGAAGTATATCTAATTCTACAGATCAGATTAATAACTGTTGATATACCTTTACAATAAAGTAAAAGTACTGGAACCAATAATATAATATTTTTTTTAAAAACATTTTTCGAATGTTTCCAAACCAGTGATTTTATAGTCTGATATAAGAAGTCGATTTGATTAAATGTTAATGAATTGACCTTTTCACTAATCCTTAAATATCATAGGTATTTATGAGTTCGATAAAGTAATCATAAAAGATTCCCTAATAACAAAGAAACTGAATGGCATGGACATGAGTTCTATTATTCCACTGAAATTGGATCAGACCATAGACCATTTGGAATTTGGAGAGGTCACAGCAACAAAAGATATTTCAGTACTTGGTTCCGTAAACGGCTATAGCAATTTATCAGACGAATTTGAAATCACGGTAATGGTAAGAATTTTGATACCCATGATTGATGATTTATTTTACAAAATATTGTTTTCTAGCGTGATAAAGATCAAAAAATTGAGTCCAATCTAATTTTTAACAAAGTCGTCCTTATCAGAGAAAACTTATCTACCAATTACATTAATGGCGTTGATGTTTCAAAGATAGTTACCATCGACACCGACCAAAACCTCACTTCCTCTTTCAATTTCAAAGCCCAGTGCAAAATTGATTCAGATCTTCACGTCCATGGCCTTGTTAATGGAGTTAACACGACTACTTGGAAGAATAGAAATGTCAAAATACACTCGTCGATAATACAGAAACTCTATGACCCTTGGAGAGTTGCCAGTAATATGACTTTCTTTGGAAATATTGAAGGTGAAGGCTTCATAAACGATTTGAATTTAACTAGAATTATGGCAGAGGTAGAACAGCGGAAGAATTATAAATACACTGTTGAACGCGGTATCATAGTAAGTACTGAAATAGTAGTAGTGTAAGTTCTTTGTCTTCATCTATCTTCTGTTTTTAGGAAGATTACAAGCACATGTGTCTAGATGTATCGTACATATACCAAGCTTTAAAGAAACAGATCTACAAGTTCAAATATTTTGAGGAGCTCCATAGTATCACCCTCAGTAATCCAATACAAAATGTTCACTATTTCCAGTTCAGAGGCAGCCATTACTTGTTAGTGAATGATAATAATTGTTCCTCCAAAGTGCTAGTATTTAAGAACACCCAATTTAAACATCTAAACACCATAGAAATGGGACATATTAGTCAAATCATCACTGTTCAAGGAAACAATAATTTATATTTGGTTACCACAGACGCAAATTTGAGGGGAAAGTGTGAGGTTCAAGGTACCAATGTATGGAGTTTGAATGAAGACACGTTAAAGGTGAATTTGAAGATTAATAACAATGTTTTTAATTTTTTTGTTTCTTATAGACTACTTTTACGTATTTTATTATGTTTCAGTTGTATTATAATATGGAGGAACAGGATCTCTTGCAAGAGTCTGCTATACCACTCACATTCTACGGACTAAATAAACAAGGTGTTGCTGAATACAAAGTGACTTTTAATGTTCCCAGAAAATATAGGAATTGGAATGTTTTTCAGGGTAAAAATGACTACCTTATTAAAATACAACTCTATCACTTTTCTCTTACAGAAAATGCCGCCTTCTTGCCACGAGGTTTAAAAACTGGCCTGTCTTTAAGAACTGGCTATAAAGTAATATTTTTAGACCGCTCGGATCCTACAGAAGATGATTACAGCGAAGACACAGAGTTTATTATAAGGGGTAAGTTAGTTTAAAGTCTTCATGTGATGAAGTGCATACCTAGGATATATCTTTTAGGAAATACGAGTGAAGTTGTGAATTATTTCATACCAGGTCGTGATGGTGGTGACTTGGTAGTCACAAAAGTTGGTATAAAAAGTGCTAGAAAAAATCTTTTAGCGGTTGCCACTCATGAGGCGACTAGTGTTAGAGGGCGGTTAGATTTTATAAAGGTAAGTCATATTAGTAAACAAAAGGATTGATGGAGTTCTTGAACAGTATCCGTCCCAGTATATTCATTCGCATTTTCTATTTTCAAGTATTTTGCAGTTATTGAAGGTACTTGTATTTTTAACAATAGGCTGACCGGGGCATCTACTGTACTTATATATAAGGAAAAATCTTCGTTAGTTTATTCCTTTTGGTCTCAAGGAAATATTATTCCCTAGTCAGTTTCAAAGCTCCTACTTTATCTTCTTCCATAACAGTAAAATGAAAGCAGTAACTTTAGTTACTGCTATTTTAACTAGAAAATATGTTTCGTTGTCTTCTATATAATCGACAGCAATTTTTATAACTCCGTCTTTCTTAATCCTCCAAAAGTACCCATCGCCAAAACTACTTTATGCAAAAAATAAATTTTATCTGGAGCTTTATTAATAAAAGTTAGAATCTGATCCCCTTCCAATTACGCATGTTATTTTATTTCTCAATTTATAAACAATATAATATATTCTTTATTGTATAAATGCTATTGATTTAACCGATAATAAATTTGTTGTAGCTTTTTCATATATTGTTTCTCTAGAAATCCATAGATTTCTAAGAACATGAAAGAAAGAAATAGAACATATTCTAAAAACACCATGTTACAAATAAGTAAATAAATGTATGAACAAAGTATATCCTTACAACGCCCTTGGTGCATAAATAGTTATAAATCAGCTTTGATGTTCAAAGATTGATAATATGTCATTTTTATGTTTTAGATCTACAGCGACGCTTTGAAAGGAGAGATTTTCCATAAAGTGCCGGCTTATAAACCTAGTTCTCTATTATCTATCGAATTCGATCAAGGAGAGACCTTGCTAGTATTCATGGAGAATGGAAAAACTTTGCAAATTTACGAATACAAGGGTAGTATTTCTAAACTTTTGGAATTAAAATGTGTTCTAAACGCCTTTTTTTGCAGGAATTCAAGGTTTCCAGCACAGGTCGTCAGCAAGAGTTGACGGTTCCAAACTGTTTCTGATGACTCTGCCTGTAGAACCATACTTGAATCCAAGGAAAGCCATAGGAATTGTACACAAGAATAGAATTAGTATAATATATTCCGTAATGTCTGGCAATCAAATTAGGGATGATCTAAAATGTGATTTGTGAATATTTGCTGTGTATTGTTAAATTTATTATTGGTGATAATTGTAGATACCACTGTTAACAAAAACCATTATTTATTCCAAATATAAATTATTTATTGATACGTTTTATTTAATATAACAAGGAAACTATTTTTTATTGGCAAAATTTAGTCCTATAGAAATTAAATATTTCTGTATCAATTTCTGTGTCACCTGTCAGAGGTACAGTTTTCATGAACTCTTTAAATTGCATTGAGTCTGTTTCTTTGATTAGGTCAGAATTTTTGGAATTTTCTTCATACTTTCCCTCTCCAACTTCATTCTCGGCAGCAGCTTCATCATTTTGGCTTTCCTCCTCATCAGGATCGTCATCTATTGATGGAAAAGGACACGTATTGCATTCTGGAATACTAGGAAACGACTGCAATGCAGGATTATTATTATACTCGTATTCTGTTGGATTAGGCAATGATTTGAATGTAGGATCATTATTGCATTCACAACACGACTTTTGTTCATAAGTTTCACCACCACTTACGTTCCTCCTAAAATATCTTTCTCCTGGTTGATGCTCAGAGTTTATAACTCTACAACAAAAAGTTTTACTCTCCTTCTCCCTCATGCTGGTCAGACTGCGCCAGTTTTTATTGTGTGAAATAACCGAACAACTTTCACAGACTTTCGTTAAGGGTGCAATTTTTTCGAACTGCAAAACCGTTTCTGGGTCACATAAAAGTTCAGAGTGATGCAGCACCCCCGATTTCCTCACATTGTTGAACACATTTGAGTGACTTTTTCTGATCGATTCACGATGGCAGTTTGCCGAGTGGATGCAGTATTGGTCTTGATCCACTAAAGGCTGACAGACGGGTCCTATACATACATTTTCACTCCAACAATCTGTCCAATAATTTGCCGGTTGTTGGGCGTGGACAGAATTGCAACTAAAAGAAATAAATATAGAATAACTTTAAAATCTGCCAAATTACTTACCAGCCCACTGATACGTATTTTTTCTCTTCCACGTTGCAAGCACAGTCTTTGGACGACACTTTCCTCGACATATTCTGTGTGCTTCTGCATAAATAACAATTTGAGTTATTCGTGCTGTAATCAGAATCTCTTGAGCAAGTGGAATCGAGGCTCTTGCTGAGTTTCAATCCCTGTTGACGTTCCAACCAGCCTTTGAATATTCTCATCGTTTTAAGCTCTGCCTTTTTAAGCCCAGACTGCAAATGATACGTTTCGTTCTTGACCATCTTCAAATCGTCCAGAGACTTGCTGTAAATTTTTTGCTGTTCCTCCAACTCTATAATCAACTTGTTTTTGACTGTGTTATTGGTTCGTGATTGTAATTGTTGCCTAATGTAAGTGATATTCTTCTGGCACTGGTCTATGGTTTCTGCGTAGATTTTCGCAATTTCCAATTTCTTTTGTAAGTTCTGGGTGTAATATTCCATGTCCTTGCCGTTCTCTGGATCCTTAAGAAAGTTTTCAAATAGCTGCTTCTCTATGTCTTGTTCTGATCGTGAGTCGTACATGTTGGATTCTGACAAGTTTTTATTGTACTGTCGTTTACCTTTAGTGTATTGGTCTTGCTTGTCTAGTAAATAATTTACTACGATGTTATTTGTTTCTGTTTCGTGTGTGGCTAGAATATTCTTTTTAGAAACGACTCTACTAGGGGTGTCTTTGAGATCGTCAACCAGTTTCTTCAAGGTGTCTAGAGAGAACTAAGGAAAATGTAACAAATTAATTTTAAAACTATTTATACTAGTATTTCCAGGAAGAGTAAAGGATACTAATCTCTTCATCTTTTTTATCTATAGTGTTTTTCAACGCTGATAATGTTTTTTGGCTTTGAACATACTCTAGTTGTTTCTCTTTCTTCTCTGAATTTTGAGAATTGATTCTGTTCTTCAATAATTTGAAGCAATACTGGATGTAAGTCATACTAGGTTCCACATTTAATTTATCGCAACTAGAAGCTAAATACTTTTCAACGTCATTCTTGCACTGTTCTTCTTGGTTTTTATCTAAAACACTGCCAGTCTGTAAAGAAGATATGTTAAAAATTACCAACAGAATAGTTTAAGACTACTTACTGAAAGATGGTTGAGCAATGATATTTCTCTGCGAAGTTCTTCGATTGTTGTCTTTAAAAAGGTAATTTCTTTTTGAGGATCTCGCATCTCGTTGATCACTGGTGCCGTGCTTATCATAGACACTCTCTGTGCAAATCTACAGGTACTTATGGTTTCCTGATAAAAAGATATGTTCTCAGAAGTAGTTAATAAATGTACACATTTAAGATTTATCCTGTAAGTATAATGGGTGCAGTACAAATAATAAAAACTGTAAATACGTAAGCGAAATGAAATGTAACCTTTTCAGGTACAAATAGTTATTTATTCTTTTAAGAATTGTTTCTTCTACAGAAAGACACCCTGTAAGGGTGAAAAAATTTGTTATCGATTGACGTGGTTCAAGGGGTCGTTGCCCAAAATATGTGTCAGATAGGGCGAATGCTTAGTAAACAAGACCAGCACGAACAAAAAGTTTCTCTTTTGTCATGAAAATAATTCATAGCCCCACTCTATTCACATAGATTTCCATCGACGTGTTGGGTATGTCGGAATTCCGATGATAAATGAAACTAGAATATTTTTATTTTTAGAAAAATCTACATCCTCTAGTTTCCCTAGTTTCTAGCGTTTTTTAATAGCTCTTAAAAGTTCTTACTTATGTCAAAAAAAATGTAACCTGGATATTGTCCTTGGTAAGCGCCAAAGTGGCCAGCATCGCTGTGAAGCAATTCCCGCTCAAAGAGTCCTTCAGGATGTAAGTCATCATGCTGTTCCTGTATGGAACATGCAGCCTCTTCGATTCTGACAAGGCCAGGATGACTTGCTGCAGGTAGTGTAAAGAGAGGTTTATGTGTTTTGCCTCTTTTAAAGCTGTGCCGGTTGACATCGATTTGCACACCCGTTCAGAGCTGCAAAACATAGGTACAGGGTGTTTTGTAAAGAATGGACCATACTTTTCCTGGTGTCAACATACGGCGCACTAACCCTTATCTTATGTATAAAAGTTAATAATAACTGGCATACATGGGGTCAAAAATTGACGAAAAAATCTTTTGTCGTCAATATAAACACACAATAAACTCCCCTAGACCAAAGTTGGTCCTAATATCTAAAACGTGTTAAAAATATTGAGGAAAAAATATATTTTATTATTAACATTTGTATTAGGGTAAGTTGGGTTATATCGGTCTATTACTGTTACTGTAAATAGTTGTAAACTTTTTTTGCTGAAGCAAGTGAATTTTCGATTAACACTAGATACTGATTTTTGTTTTCAATGTAGAAAAATGTTTTGGTGGTATTGTTAAATTTTCCTATTGTAAATTTTTGAACGACCTTACCCAGCCAAATCCACCAGATGCAACTTCGAAAATCTTAGAATGTTAGACGGCTCATCTCGGAAGGCGATGTAGATGGTAAAAATGCAATGTGATCTGGAGGAATACTCGTTCATTGGGGTTTCAGCTATAATCCTGAAATATTAGCGCATACAGTTATATTTTAAAGCATAGTCGATGCGATTTTGGACTACTGGTGAGTTTATAAATAAATTTTAGTCCTACCTGATACTTCTAGTTTAGTTCTAGTCTTTGATATAAGTTAAACGAATATATTAAAAATGGCAGATTTATAAAAATATTAACTTATTCATAAGGAGGTCTTTAGGTCTTGAAACTTCCTTTCTTTAAATTTTCAGGACTAAAGATTAAGACCATAACATGTATGTATGTATACCAATCTGTTCCATCTCTAGTTTTGACAAGTTGCCGATCAATTCTATAGATTAAGGTTAGGAGAGTAAGGCCAAATCTTTATAAACGAGATAAAAATATTTACGTTACGAACAAGATTTGGGGTTAAAGTTAATGGTGCGACTTTATAACAAAGTCTTATCCCTAACCCAATCTTAACTTAGCCGTAGTTTTTGTCCTAAGAAGTTCAACGTATATATTTCATTGTGCTAATTTATAAAAATCCTAACCTAGTCTTAGTCTTAAGACCTGACCTTCAAAGTTCCTATCTTTTAACTTTTTAGGACTAATATTGACATCATCACAAGTACGGATACGCGAAAGTTTATTATTGGACAGAATTCTTAAGATTGGGTTAAGACCAAATGTTTACAAACGAAGTAAAAATATTAGAATTAAGACTAATAGTTAAAAATCAGAATAAAATTACTACTAAATTAGGATTAAGATCTTTTTATAGAATTACTATAAGTACCGTGTAGTTATATCTTAATTATTATGTAGAATCCTTTTTCGTATTTCATCCTGTAATAAAGCAGAACCTGTCTGAGTGACTAATGAAGACCCTTCAAGTGGGATCTGGTAGCTCACCGTTATAAATCGAATTCAATTTCCTACAGACCTGTTCGTGTCTCCCAGGAAAAGCAATCTCATGGCTTCCTGCTCGGTCGAGACCGGAAGTACGCTCAGGTTTCGCATGTGTACCTCTCCGTTACTGTCTTCCAGCAGCACGATGCGCCTGCAAGTTGAAAAAATGGTTGCATATCAACGACTGGTCGGTGGATGGTATTTTAATAATGGATCAGAGGTAATAACGATATTATTTTCGAGAGAATAATCTTAATTCGGTCCAATCATATTGTCGCATCTTACGAATAATTAAAGGGTTTAAATAATCCGAACAAATATATTTTAAACAGAAATCGATAACATTTTCAATATTTAATTAATTTAACAGTAATTCAGCCTGAGATTATTGGTTAAAGAAAATTATTTTCATAAAAATAACCCTTGATTAACCCTTTAGGCAAAAGGATTTATATCATTATTTTGAGAGTATAAAAATAAATAATCTGATAGGTATTTTTAGTACAAATACGGGGTGATCAAATTCCCTTTCAGTTGCTATTAAAATATTTAAATGGAGTAAAATATAGACAGATATAGGAAGTCTTTCGGTATCAAAATATGAAATCAGAAAAGCAACTGAACATCAATTTGAATAATATAACCGAAAAATTAATTTTTTGCGGAAAAATATATATTTTTGCAGAAATTGTTCCAGCATTTTGAAACACAGCGTATTTTCACTAATATTGGTAAATAATTAGTATAAGGATATCCGTGATACTTATCACAAAAAATTCGTCTGTAGTGATTTTGCTTCATATTGTTTTCCTGAGAAATCACTCAAATAGCTGTTTGGTCCCTTTTTCCCTTTTTATTTATTATCAACGACAACATTTTCTTAGTAAGAATCATGAAATCTACTTTTATCTAGAAGTGTTCTTTTCATCACAGTTTTTGAAAATCATATTCAATTGTTTTTTTAAATTACATATTCTGATTCCACAAGATCTTTTACGTATGTACTTGTTAGAAAAATGTTAGATTGGTATCACTTGTCACCAGTATGGTTATTGTTTTCTATGATCTATGATATATTGTATTACGAGTTTCGAGAGTACGTTGTATGTGTTACTTTTTGATGAAAATTAAAAGTTAAAAGTAGTGTATGTTTATTAAACGAGGATTAATAAATAACATACTATTCAAAGATCTTAATAGTAATGGAGTAAAAAACCAGTACAACACTATTCTCTTAGAATGTACAGGGTATCCCAGTACTTGATACAAAAAATTCAACTACAGATAGATGGGGTCAAAATAATATCAGTTCTTCATATAAATTTGTTCCATACGGGCTTTCGTTAATAATTTACGGGCCCTCAAATCTGAAAATTAAAATCTTATTGTTATTTACAGTCTCTAAACGATTAACTTCAGCATGATGCAAATTTGGTGATTGATAACACATGCGTACAGCTTGTTTTTGATGTAGTAAGTGAAACTTCATTATGCCCAGAACGCCAGGGACGGATATGCCCAATGGTTAACAACCCAGAATTTTTACATAGATGACGATCGCAATCTGCCTGTATCAAAAATAAGTTTCCTGAAGAATTTGCCAACGATAATACCCTCTTGATTCAACTCGGTAAAATTAACAGTTTAGGAAATATTTGTGATTTTATGTCACAGTGCACTCGAGCGGCGCCTCCAGCATTTTTTGTTTTTAATTTTTAATTGCACTTAATTACTATGTTAGGAGCGTATATATTTTTAAAAAAAGATCCTAGAAAATCTTACTGTGTGCTAATGTAATTTTCACTAACAAAATTTGACAAATACACTTTACACTTAACACAAAATAGAAAAACAAACAAAGAATATGTTAAAGTTAAAAAAATAATTTTAAAGAAGGACTATCAAATACCCTGTATATACCTAGTTATAATGATTTACGATTTTGTGTCTGTATTAAGTTGCTGATAATTAAGGTAATTGTTCATGTTTTGGTGCACTGTAATCAATCAGTTTTTTCGATACATGATGTGAAAAAGCAAAAAACACCTTGTCATTGGACATAAAGTGAAAAATAGTAAAAATCTCTAATATCTCTAAATCTAAAATATTACTATTTAACTTACGGTAACTCCTCTAAACTTCTTGCAGTGTTGTCGTGTCTTGAATTTAGTAGATCGTATCCAATTTCGTTGTAAATTTCCATGTAGGATATGTATACAGTTGGCTTTATAGTTACCTGTTCAAAGATTTAAAAATTTAAATAACATTTACCTATCTCTTTTTCTGTTTTATACTGTACTTTCGACATTTTCTAGTCTTTATTCTACTATATGTACCAAGATGGTCATAACTCAGAGCGGCCCTTCGATAAGAGCTGCAGAACTACCGAAATTATAACAGAAATACAGCAGAAACAGTCAAATAAATTCAAATTTTTATTCAATTTCGGTGTAATGAACAACGGAATAAGCCGAAGCTCGGTCGGGTTCGCTTTCGATGCCGTCGAAGGCCCAGCAAGTAGCTGCATCTCGAACAGAACAGCCCAGAGTTTTAATATCTTCGTCTCGGCAGAATGGGCGACAATGGCAGGTCAAAGATTCCTAGATAAGGCTAACGAAGTGAAACGTAATTTTTAAAATATTAATTTGCTGTATGGCATTTGTCTCATTTTGAGCTTCCACGTGAACGTACACGCCTAATCGAACACACCGTACGCTAAACCATTAGCATTTCGATATCCGCCAAAGCGGAATTATGGTTATTGCCGTTGCTGCGGTACTTTAACTGTATCTGCGATCTTTGCCCTCCGCCGAGAGTTCCATTATTCTAGATAATAATTACCTTACCTTCTCATTTTGCGCGAACACATATTGTATGCTCCTCGGTATGATTCCCCTGTCATTATAGTCCTTAGAAGAGCCCGTGATGCTGTACGTCTTGCCGCTTCCCGTCTGCAACGGCGAAGAACCTCGTGAGCGTTTAGTGGTATAGATAGTTTCGAAATATTGCGGAAAATCATATTTTCACAATTCGTTCTGGTAGTCTAGATAGTTTGGATAAAGTATTAAGTACATAGGGAGTATAGAAAGTGTGGATATATTTTCAAGATTGGAATAGACAGTGAAGAATTTTTGAAATCAAATAATACCCTAGAAAATAAAGTATGAGTATTTATATTCGGAAACATTGTCAAATTTCTTGTCAAATATCGTAATTAGTCCAATCAAATTAGACTTGGAGAAAAAAAATTGTTACCTAGACTTTTATAAGTGGAAATGGTAAAAGGGCTTATAATAAACCGTAAAAAAAATAAATGCGTGAGCAGGGGAAGCGGAGGGTTGATTTGGGGGGTTGAAAAGTTGCGAAAAATTGTATCATTGGAATATACAAAAGTTGTAGATCATGCAAAGATCTACAACTTTTGTAGAGCTCACTTTGTAAGATAACCTCAAAATTTCCGAGAAAAATGCGAAAACCTGATTTTCTGATTTTTCGTTTTTTATTTCTCATTTCCGCAAAAATAATTTAATTTTGACGAAACTTGATGAAAGTATACCTTTCTGTGTCTTAAATAACCACATTTTTTTATATTAATATATTAAAATCCGAGATATTCATTTTTTCCAAAGAAAAATTCTACTGAGAAAAATTATCGTACAAAGTTCTGCCGGTGATCATTTTGACATACTTTTTCATGGAAATAAAAAAATCTGTAATCACAGTTCAAAAACATGCGCAAAAATGCAAAATGCGGAAATGAGAAATAAAAAACGAAAAATCAGAAAAAACCTGTTTTTCGCATTTTTCTCGGAAATTTTGAGGTTAACTTAAAAAGTGACCTCTTTAAAAGATGTAGATGTTTGCATGTTCTACAACTTTTACATTAGATACTTTTTTGTTTGACATCAACTTTCGCCAGAAATCCTAATGATGCAATTTTTCACAACTTTTCAACCAACCCCCCAAATCAACACTCCGCCACTCCTGCTCACGCATTTATTTTTTTGCGTTTATTATGAGCCATTTCCACTTATTTTTTTCCCCTCTAAATGAGTTATTTCGATCGGTATAAATAAGGTATACTTATACTTTGTGAATCAATTATATTAATGTACAGAGGAATTTGCGGATACCAGTACCACTTCAAAATTTATACACAATAGATCCCAACTTATTTTTCTCGTCTTAATCTTACTTCATTTTCTGTGATAACATTGATTTTTATCTTCAAATCTAGGGACAATCTAAAACAATGGAGTTGGCTAACTAAGTTGTTCCATAATATTTTGGAAGGAGATTGCTAAAGAATAATCTAGCGATTCTAACGAGCGTTCAAATAAAAACGTGGTCAAGTTGGTTCTGAAAATTTGGACGTAGGGCGTAGCGTATAGCAAATGAACTTAAACGTCATCTGTCAAAACGCTATATCGCCGCTATCAATTTGAATATTTTCGTTTTAAAAAGCGTTTAAAATGGTGTTTTCTCAAGAACAAAAAGTGTTTATCATAGAGTCCTACTTTAGGAATGGACGCAAGATTGATGGAATATGGAAGTATTCTATTGAGGAATGTTTCATAGAATTTCAAAATCAATTTCCCGGCGTTGTTGAGTACAAAATTTTTCAAAGTGAAACGGGCAGTGTAACAAGAAAAGAAGGAAGCGGCCGACCTAAAAAGCGGACTGAAGAATTAAAAGAAAATGTCCAACAAATAATGGAAAATGCGCCAAGAACTTCTGTACGTGTTTTATCACAAATGGTGGGAGTATCAGTCGGTACCTGCCACACAGTGTTAAAAAAAGATTTGCGTTTGTTTTCCTATCGTTTAACTTGTCAGCAAGAACTTCATGAAGTAGATTTTCCGCGACGGGCTATATTTTGTGAATGGTTTTTTAAACAACTACGGTGAACTTCATAATATCACCTTTTTTTTCTGATGAAGCCTCTGGTTTCATTTAAGTGGTTACGTAAACTCACAGAATATGAGAATGTGGTCTTCTGAAAAACCAGATAACTTTTTTGTCGAGGGCCCTCTACACGCTCAAAAAATTGGAGTTTGGTGTGCTCTCAATCGAAGGAGGATTTATGGACCTATTTTTTTTAATGGTACTCTTACTGCGCAAAGGTATAGAGAAGAAATTATCGCTCCTTTTGTTAACCAGCTGGAAGAAAACGAAATTACAAACTTTCATTCAACAAGATGGCGCAAGGGCACATACGGCAGGCGAGACGATGAATATGTTGAGGGAAGTTTTCCAAAATCGACTAATAAGTCTCAATGCTGAACATGAATTTCCACCGAGGTCATGTGATATTACGCCGTGTGATTTCTTTTTGTGGCCTTACCTTAAAAACACTATTTTTGAACTGCCTATTCCTGATTTAAACCATCTGCAGGCTCGACTTATAGACAAGATTCGTGAAATTAACAATACCCCGAGCATCTTAGAAAATGTCTTTAATTCTTTGAGGAACAGGTGTGAAAAGTGCTTGGAACAAGGAGGGGGACACTTTCAGCAGCTGCTTTAATTTATTGTTATAACAAGGAGGGGGACATTTTCCGCAGCTCCTTTAATTGTTTGTTATTGTTATCACGATTATTCTTTAAAATAAATTTATATAGTCATTAACGTTATTGAAACTGACAGCGCCTATACAGCTCGTTGAGAAATGAGGTTAAGTTGGTCGCTATAAGCTACTCCCTACGTCCAATGTGTCAGAGCCAACTTCGACCACGTTTTTATTTGAACGGTCGTTATAAGAGTTGGCAAAATAAGTTGTTCCGCAATATTTTGTTAAGGGTATCTACTGATATTACACCTACCTGACCATAAGCAAAGATTGTACCATTGAATCCTTGTAAGACGCTGAAATTAAAACAAAACTGAGTTATTCTTACACAAAACTATTATCTTGAATCAAGGATACACTTATCTACGTATAACAATATGCTGCATGTAATCTCGAATTAGGCAAATTCTCTTTCTTGGGATATTATTTTACATGCTCAGATTATACGCGACTTTTTTTAATATATACAGGGTGTTTTGTAAGTTGGAGTGTTCCAAACACATTGTTGAACTCGACAAAATAAGTAAATTTTTCAGATACAGTTAAGTTCAAACGAATATATGCTTGATTTAAGGTAAAACAGTTTCTACTTAAACATGAAGCAACTGATAATAACATCTAGTTGTTACCTGCTGACAACTGGCTTGGCCACAATGTCGAAAATGTCTTCCTGACTATACTTCTGATCAAAGACTTTGTGAAACCTAAAATTAAATCTGTCACTAAATTTTGTTCAAAACAGGGAAATGTTTTAGGCATAATTCATTAAATCTACGTAAATATCTTGACATATTTTTTTTCCTAAAATAGGAAATATAGTAAAAAAAACTTGTACCTATATTTGGACGGGCTACTTCCTAGTTGGAGAAAATTATTATAAATGACTATATCATCGAACTTTTCTCCCTTCTTCACAATGTCATACACCTAAAAATCTCACTGGCGTTAAAATTCGAATCATTCCTCATAAAGGTCGATATATTACCACTGTTTGGTCGTTATTTCCTTGATTTTTTAGCCTTGCGTAAACTTGTATGGAATGATTTACCATCGTGCTCTTCCATTGACAGCTTTATTGGTTGTCAGTTAAAACTGTAAACTAAAATTTGACAAAATATGTTACAAACAAACTGACGTACTGATGTTTGGAATTAACCTATTCAACATTTTTTGACAGTAAAAAATGTAATCAGTTTTCTGAAGTTTTTTCGATGTTTTGTTTATAATACAAGGGAAAAATTTGATAGATTTTAACACGAGGTGTGACGTTAGTCACCAGATATGAGAATACATATTTTTTGTAGATGAGTAATCCGTAAAGTGTACTATAGAATATGTCCGATACGTACTCAGACTAAAATAGCGATGGTATATTAGTGCCGTACAAGCATGCAGGAAAGTGCATACGGTAGAAGATGCGTTGGTGGATAGATTCCTCCAGTCCTGCATAGGCTTTTGTCTTTCTCGTGCTATTTATGAGACTGAGATACGATCATCTCGTGCTGCCCAAAATCGATTCCGGCGTGCGCGAATGATAGGAAAAGTCCGGGCGTGCGCCTGAAACAGGCGTTCATTCCACCAAGGAAGATGTAGTTTCCCATATCGAAAAATAAATCGAAATTACTGCATTTGTTAAATCTAAGCACGCTTTTTATTTAAGTATTTATTTGTGGCATTACTTAAATTTGTAATTTTCCTATTTTTATTCTATTGTTAGACAGTTACTTCGTTTTTGTGAACTTGTAACTAGCACTGATCAAAATTTAAACCTTATCTGCATTTGACAAGGCAATAATATGTTTTTTGTATTATTCTCATTTTTCAAAACTATTACGGAGTTTCGTCTTTCAAGTCTCTTTCTTTTGATTAAAAAATAAATTCTGAATATTCACAGGCGACGAAAAATTAATTAACTTTTTAAATTGGTTGTTTGTGTTGATTATCCTGCTAATTCATTCAATAAATTATGCAAATATGGTCACAATATTTAAAATTTCTAAAGAATAGCAACTTAGTTTTAATATTTGTGAAGTTACTTAGACATAACGTTGGTTTGTTTTATATACTGCTGCTGCTGCTGAAAAATAGTTTTTCATTGTTCATTATCATTTTCAAATATCTATTGAAAGATTGTCCCTCTTTTATAATGTCCATTATACACTACATGCATGTACTTTAGTTAGCATATCTATCATTAAAGTTCTAGTCATAAGTCCAAGTGTTATCAGTATAATTATGCGTTCCAAGTTTCAAATAACTAACATTTAAAATTTTGCATTATTTGAAGGTAATGACTTACGTGACTTACGTCATGTTTAAAAATATATTCAACAAATGCGGAAAGTGTTGTACAGGGTGAATATTATAAAATAATATTTCCTACATATCTGAAAAAGTAAATGTAGGATGAAAAACCGGTCGCAAACACTGTTTTTTTTAACAAAGTTTTTTATTTGTATCAGGTCATATCACAAAGAAATTTAACAATGAAGACACACAAACACAGCATCCGTCGGTCAAAAAGTACCGGAATTAATCCGCAAATGGCGTCACAAATCAAAAATCCATGTGATTTAGATGGTACATAGGTACCAATTTTCAAAAGAAACGTAAAAGTTTCGTGACATTTCAACCATTCCTTCGAGATATTGAAGTTTTAGTGACGCTACTTTTGAATTTTCAAAACAACGGATAAATCCGTCCAAGCTTAGCAATGGATTAAAAAGTGTTATAAGGAATCCACTCCATAGAAAAAAATTTGTCGGTGGTTTGAAACTTCACTTTACTATTGTCCTACACAATTTTGAGGATTTTTTTTGTTTCCTGGTTGTCACCTCATTTGGACGTCCCCTAGCATTCAGCATCATCTGTGTCCGTACGACCTTGTTTAAACTCAGCAAACCACCGACAGATGCTGTTTTCGATGGAAAACATTCCTTTCTTCAAGCGAAACTACTTACCATATTACAAAGACCTTTTCATAAACTGAAAAATAAAATAAAAACATAAAATGAAGTGGTGACATATTTGGTCATAACACTCGTTTCGCTGAAATAACATTGGTAGTTTGTTTTATAACCCTACCGCCCTATAACACATCAGATGTATTAAGAGTATAAAGTTAATGCAAAGTAGATCAATGTCAGAAGTCGTTGACACTGAGATTCGCATACTAAATGCAGTGCTTTGAAAAAATGGTAGGAATTACTTTTCATTAAAAATTTGGAATGATTTTAAAACATATTTCAAATATTTTTTTTAAGTAAAACAAACGATTTATGAACATGTCACAGTGCAAACAGTTTTTGCATAGTTTTACAAAGAAAAATAAAGAGTGCTGTAAGAGTTGTGCAGAAATTTTTATATCGATTTTTTTCAGTAGCCACCTGGTAAGCGGTCGACCGTGGTGGAAAAGCGCTTTCAAAATGCACCGGGCCAGACTACAAAATGTGTGATAGAGTAAGGACCTGCTCCCCAAACATGTAGCCAATAATTAATAACGAAACCAGTGCCAGTGACATTAAAGTGCTTATTATTTATTATTAGGAGTATTTTTAGTGTTTAAGGATTACTAACCGCCAATTTCCGTGCAACCTTTCTCAGGATATAGATTGAAATCAGGAATCGCCGACTGAAAGCTGAAAAATAACCGGTGAGTGATTGGGAGATAAGAGATAACCAAATATTCGATTGTTCCATGCTCTAAAAAATCGTAATAACTATAATATAAATATAATTATTGGTTTCGAGAGAATTTGGAATTTATCTTAAAATATATAATAGAAAGTCTAAACGTATTACCCATTTTTATTTTATTTTACTTTTGTTGAAAGAAAATGAAGATTTAGTAAAAGTTTTTAAATTGTAATTTTTTATGTAAACGTTTTTTGACGAAATTAAATTTGGTGTAAAGATTGTTGTGTGAGAAACAGTGCAGTTTAATTAAACTAGTTTACTTTTAAACATATATTATTTTGAAGTCAAACAATATTATTCGACACAAGAAATCTATGTGTGCAAAAAATATCTAACCCCACAGAACACGCAACTACTCATACTGACAAGATTAAAAAATATTGTATTTTGTAAGTATTTGAATTTGAATAGAATAGTAAATAGTTATTCGCAATTTTTGCATTAAAAATTGGCACAGAACGACCTGACAATCTGTAAGTACTATAAAAGTAAGATAGTGGTAATGTATTAAGCTATATAGGCCAGGAAAAAGAGCTAGGAAATAACCATTTCGCGACTTTTTGTTTCGGCAACCTAAATTTATCACTATAGTTGCTAAATATTATGTACAATATCATATTAGTTTCCACAGTCATAAAAATGGGGGGGAAGATTGTTTACAGGCTGGTTAATTGTATAATTTTGACGTAAATTCACGTTTTTCGCTTATAACTTTTTTCCGTTCATTTCCACGAGAAAACAGTAAGGTATTTTTTTTTCGTCTTCAAAAGACCTAGAAAACTAGCCCTCGAGCGTCAAAAAATATTGATTAGATCAAAAATTATAAACAGAAGAAGTTTATTTATGACTTTTGAATTAAACATTTATAAACAGCGTTATTATTACCAGAACGTTTTGGCATCGCATCCTCTCATTTCTAATAACTCACACGAAATCTGGAATCGGTAAGTTGACCTTATAAACAAATTAATTAATTATTAGTATGGACGATCCCGAGCATAATCCACAATAGCACTGATTTTTTTCATTGTAGATTTCATAATAATATATTGATATCTATCATTTTTTTTAAATTTCAAATTTGCAACATGAAAAGTTTTTTTTATTTTTTAGCCTTAGTTGCAAAATGAAATATGCGACGCGCGCGCGTGATATAGTTATATATATTATTACATATACGGAAAGCTTATGAAAAGAGCTGTAAGTTAAAAAAAAAATCTATATTTCCTGGCCGATATAATGATATTGTGGGAAATAACTACTGTGCAGAGGAAAGCCTGACGAGCATGAGTTACCTACAATATCTATTCGTCAGTAGAACCACCAGACATAGATCAATTTCGAACTTATTAGTTCTAATCAGTTTGTAGGTGACAGGTGACAGGTTTTTGTCCGCAGAGTAGTTGTTTCCCACAATATGTTTAGTTAAACATTACAGAAAAATCAAATAAATATTCCTTGTACGTATATGTATAGTAAATTTAAAAACGAATTTAATTTGACGTTATTTCTAATATTTCAGTACCCATAGAATTGATATAATATCTGTAGACAATGTTATTCCCTTATATGCAACAGCAAAAAGAGTCAAAATATCACAATATAATGTTAAGTTATTGTATGTACGTAAGAGCTATTGCCAAATATCTGTAAAGTAACTTGATCTATGCAGTATCATCTGCACCAGAGTTACGATGAGATATAATTGTTGCCCTACATCCCTAAAAATAGCCATTGTTTATTCGTTTAAACATAGCTGCGAGTAATCAATTGTAAACATTTGTAAGGCCTGAATGACAGCACTTCTAAAATAGATCGGAGCATGCATATGGTGTACACATAACTTTTTATGTCTCCCGAAAAAGTCACATGGCGACGTTACGGCCTTTCTGCGCTACACCAACTCTGTTTGTTTTCCTGGTGTTCGTGAAATTGTCGTTTGAAAGGCCTATGCTGATAACTTAAACGGAAAAGTTAATACAAGTCGTACCTGCTTGTGTGCTCCTACGACGATTTACGGACTGAAAATTTCTTTCGTCGACATTATCGTAGGGCAAGCTGTTCAAACGTAGGCTTCTTAATGGTATTTTCAACGCTTATGTAATGCCGACGGTGGTAACGACTGATGGCTGCTCAACAGGGTTATTTTTAACCAGGGAAACTAAGAAAAATAAACTGAAACACCTAGTAGAGGGGCTTGTAGTTAATAGTAATATAATATATTCTCTAATAACTACATATTCCTACTACATGAGAAAAAACATTTTGTAAAAAATTACTATATTATTGTGATCCTCCATTTTGTGCAAAAAAACTATCATAGTTGTAATCATAAAGGTATAAAAGATATTTTCATATAATTCTACAAAAGAATGTATTACTTTTATTGCAGTAAAAATGTTGACAATATTATCCCTGTTGAATGAACTCGTTTAATAATATTTAATTTTCCGTAAGCGCTTAACCCTCTAAATACATATATTATTATTATTATTATTATTTACCCGCAACCAAATTATCAATAGACATCCTGCACTATTTAAATTTAAGCAGAATCCCATCTTGAACGCTTACGAATAGGAGCCTCCGTTGCGCTGGCTATATGAAAGCGTGGTGAAACCTTATGTATAAGGTATTTAGGGTCTGTAGGGGAGCGTAGCGTCCGGAGTATTTCTGGTGGCCTATAAATAGGCGTAACCTACAATGACCGAATCATCACCGCTTCAATTTATTACATTTATTTCAGTTTTCATTTTATCGGGAAAGTGTTTTGTGTTGTTGTATAACCTTATAAAGTTCAGTGTTTACTGACGGTACATACAGTGTATTTTTGTGTTCAGGATTCTGTGTTATATGCAAAAGCATGTACAAAAATCAAGAAAGAGTTAATATGTTGAGAGCCTACATTTTGTCAGGAGAAAACGATGTTGCTGCAAGACGATATCAGATGGATTATCCCGACCGGATGTTTACAACATTGTACTACAAAATTGTAGTAAAATTAAATATAACATTTTAAATATCATAACTTTAGAACATATTTTAAAAAAAGTCTAGGAATACTAAGGAAGTTAATGGTACGTCTATGGCCCATTTAAAAATTATTGATATACTACTCCATACCATTTCAAAACAGACTATACAAAACCGGTCCGCATAGGTAATATCGAAAAAAGCTGTTGCTAACAATACAAATTAATTAAACAAAATTGGATCTGAAATCTGATATACATATTCATTAAACAATAATCTTAATTACAACTAGCATTCTGTCACGACTTGGCTAGACTGGTAGTCAGCGATTTTCTTTTATTGTAAAAACAATTGAATGCTCAACGATCTGGACAATTTTACAACAGCAGGAACAAAAGACTGCGTTTTTAATCATTCACTACTTGATTGATATATGTGTCTGGTTGGACATTCCATGACCAATTATTACTAATAATATGCGGGTTTGTTAACTTTGCGACTTATTTTTGTTTTTTCCAATACAATAATTTAATGCGTACACGCCACTGACTTCATGGTAAGTTCGGAGAAGCAATCAACAAAGATAATCTTACTAACTACTTTTGCAGGGACATAAAATTATTCATCTGGATATTTTTATATAG